TAAGGAAAACAGCAGGGATGAGAGCCAAGAAGCTCTTAGAGAAGTCCTGCTGCTGCATTTGCCCTTCATGCACTGCAGCCGGGTGGTAGGGAAGAGGGGTTGGAAGAGCCGAGTCGCATGGCCGGGGTGGTCCGGCAGCTCTGCGTTGCTGGAGCCGTGCTCTGACTGATGGCGACCCGGGAGCGAGGCTGTAGCGTACAACCTGATGGAGAGGATGGCAGAAACACCATCTCGAATGACAGGGAAGGAAAGTAAGAGCTGGGGTTTGAGCAGCCCTGGTGACGGGATCGTGGGGGCTCTCCAGACCCCCACACTCGTCCAAAAGAGCTGTGACGAGCAGGCCCGCTCTCCAAGCTATATGCAGTTTCTCTGCTGCCATCCCTGCCTGCCAGGGTGATGCTGGTCCACAGGCGCTCAAAGTGATTTCTCTCTCCCGTGGAGAAACATTGTGTGCCGCACTCCAAACCCTGGCTGTCTGCAGCTCATGGTGAGCGGCACGTGCCTTCATGGCCTCACAGCCCATGGGGTCCTGCGAGACAAGAGCTGCTTGTCTTCCCGCATAAATACCCCGTTACTGCCCGGCAGGGTGTAAAGAGGAGGAACAAGTCTGATTACACAAAGACAAAGGACTAAATGCTCATTTGCAGTATTTGGAAATGGAGTTGCAAAAGGACAAACAAATAAACCCCAGTGCCTAAGCTGCTTGACAGCATGAGCTTTATTCCCAGCAGCTCCCTGAGGTCTCTTCAGCACTCTCGGTTAGTGCTACTGAGAGCTCTGCCTTCTGCAGGAGCATCACAGACTGGTCAACGGGATGGGGCTCAGCACCTGCTGGGGCTGTCACAGCCAGGACATGCCTCTGGGGATCCTGAATAAGCACCACACAGTCAACTAGTGGGAAAGAGGAGAAGGAATTTAGGAAGATGCTCTCCGTGGCAAGCCTGCTGTCTGCCTTGCTAGACCACCATGAGTGGTCTACGTAGTGCTCGCAGCAGGATGAAGGCTCCAGAGCAAATAAAGTGTGTGCAGTTAATAGTCTTGATGATGTAAAATCTGCAATGTTTTGCTCTTTTTTTAAAAAAATGTGATGACAGCAGAAGTCAGATAGATAGGAAGAGATATGCCAAGTGGAAGATTATCACTTAAGTGTTAAGTAAGGCTGGAGGGGAGAGATGATACACCCCAGTGCAGAGGTCAGGATGGGTGGATTAGTCTGCCAGGCAAGCAGTACCCTGTTTCACAAAGCAAGGAAGCGGATTTGAGGGGAACGAATAATGGAAATGAGCTGAAGTGGGAAAAGAGTGCTCAGAGAGGCCCAGGGAGTGCAATCTCCAACAGTAGAAGCTGGAATTAGATGTTATCCAGGGAAAGCCTCTAGAGTTACCTGAGGTGCTGAAACATTTAGGATAGTCTCATTGTGCAGTATTACCTAAAATTACATTTTCCTGTTGCATGCTCTGTGTTCTAAATATTGTAGTCAACTGTTTAATTGTTATCTCAAGCAACCAAGCTAAACTGATTCTTTATGTTTAAACCTTGTCCTGCAACAATGGTAGTGTTGACATGAATTGGGCATTGCACTCTTCTGTGCACCAGACTCTCTCTGTCCCAATGCTGGGAGGCAGACACCTCCAGTGCCATTCTGACCCAATCCTAGGGCATGTCCTCCAGCACAAGGTGGGACTGAACCCCTCCAAGGGTGCCACCTTTCTCTGGGCTCTGCTAGACAGGCTAGGTGATGAGTGCAGATCAGGCACCTGAAGGTTTGCAGCATGTAGAGGTGTGTGCACATTGTCCCACTGCAAAGGCTGCCCTTAGACAGGTGACACTGAGCTGTCCTGGGTGAAACCTATGCACTTTCCCATGATGGAGGGGTAGGATATGGTGAGGGGAAGAGAGCTCTGCCTGAAACGCAGCAGCATGGGCTTTCCACGCCTTTCTCTGCTGAGTTATTGCTCCTGAGCTCTTGCACCACCTTGCACGGTGCAGGGTGTCAGAGCAGCCACAGACCATATCAGTGTCACTCTGGGCTGGCAAGTCCTGGAGACCAGACCAGGACTGCTACTGCTGATGTAAGGACGGGCTCTGCAGTGATAGAGCCTTGCTCCGATGGCTGGGACCTGCTGTGCGCAAGGCTAGGAATGGTGTCTTGTGAGTGCACAGGTGCAAGAGGGAATTTCTCCAGGCACAACCAACAGTTGAGTTTGATGAGGTGTTAATTAGACCATTCATGCAGCCTGAGCTGTGGGAGAGCAGACCACGTTAGCTACCTACTGTGTTTGTGGGTACAGGAACACCAGAACTGCTCAAAATTTGCTTGGAGAAAAAATAGTGAGATTCTAAGGAATTAATGCAGATTTTAACAGCAGATCAGGAATCAGACACAAAGGTTAATGCATGTCTGAATCACACACCGAGTGCTGGAAGAGAAGAAACACCAGGGAAAGCTATCAGGAGGAAGAGATACTAACACATGTTAAAGCTCAGAACATTTGGTACAAAACGTAGGCCGGCACATCTGGGCAAATTTGGCTAGGGGCTCTCATGGCCTGTTGTTCCTCCACTGGTGTAGCCTAGTTTTTGTCACCGGACACTCACAAGTGTCACGGTGTTACCTCCACCACGGCGGAACCTGCAGTGCCAGGAGGGTAAGGGCTGGCAGGCACTTGTGTCCACGCTGGGCTGGCTGTTGTTGATGCTCTGTGGCCACTTTGGGTCCTGAGCGTACTGAAGTCACCAGAGAAGTGAAAATCTTTCTCGTCTGGAGCTACAGCTTTTCCCTACCTCCTCATCCCTCAGCTCTCAGAGCTGCCAGACCTGCTGTCTCCTTCGCTTGCTGTCTGCCCTCTTTCCAGCCTCCTTGGCCCGTGCTTGCTGCTGCTGTCACCACTGCACATCCACCCTCTGGTCACAGAGCCATAGCACCCCTGGCCAGGTGGCCTCAGCAGGTGAGGAAGCTCCCACATGTCAGTCCTCACCTCACAAGGCACAAGAGTTTCTCATCCTTCATGATTCTACTGCCTTCTACTCCTGGTTTGTAGTACCTGTGGAGAGTATAACTACCAATCTGGGTCACTTTGGCTCCTTTTGGTGATGATGTCATTCTACAGTGCTCTGAAAGGAGCCCATAAAGCTGAGGAAGCACGTTTTTCAGTGATGATGAAGCCATTCCTGCCTGCCAGCTGTGGATGCAGCAGGGTAGGGAGGGGGCATGGAGATGGTGTCTTGATCATCTTAACCTACCCCAGGTAAGGGTCAGGTTAAAACTTTTCCCAATCCCCAGCCCTGCTCCCTACATCCACAAATCAACCCCAAGACCCGGTTCCCATGTTGTTGCTTATGTGGTAGAGAGAAATGTTAGCATGTAGCTCATGAAATGGCACAGGCATTTGGAGTCCAACACAACCAGAGGCCAAAGCAAAATCAAGGTGTTAAAAATGGGAGAGTCTTTAGTATTTTTACGATGGCTGCCCATGCCCTTTGTCCGTGCCGTTATAAGGGCGAACCAGGCTGTGGCTGTCTGAGCAGGTCAGCACACATCAGTCAGTCTGGGCATTGCTTTTTATCTGTGACTTGTTCTGGAGCAGCAGCCAAAGGCAGTGTATGGACAGAGCTTGTTTGTTTAAATTCGAGTAGGGAAGAGAAATAAGGAGAGCCTGGAGTAGGCATTATCTGGCAGAGGGAAGGACTCTGGGGGTTTCAGGAAGAAATGCAGGTATTTGTCCTGTCCTCTTGCTGACAAGCACTTCTGCCCTGTTTGGCACAGGGGACTTGTAAGCACTGTGGTTTTTTAGAAGCTCTGTTTTGGTTGTTTGACTTTCTTTAGAAAACACATCCTTGCTGTATTGGCTTAAGTCTCTTTAGTGATGTCGCAGAGGCGAGCCTGTCTCGGTCAGCAGAGCCAGAAGCTTTACCCTTATGCAGGCTACC